CAAAATTATTTGTTACATTTTAATATTTATATTGTTTATATTTAGTTGTCCATATAGTGTAAAACTGACCATATAAAATCCTTAGTTACTCATGATTAGGCTTAGGGACTTGTAGCATTTGCATACTTTGTTTGTGAATCATGAGTCATGATGCTACCATAGGTAATCTATAATTTAGTTAATTAATATTAAAATATATGTACCTCTGGTACCTATTATAATTTCATTGTGCATATATGTAAACAAATGCAATTATACATTTTGATTATACATAGATAATTATGATGAAGCTGCTAAGAAGAAAAGAGAAATATCCTTGTCAGCTTCTGAATTAGATTGTGGTTGTAAAAGAGTTCAGCCAAACAATTTTTCAAACAACTTTGAGAAAACAACTTTTCCGAAATATTAGTAATACTGCTGGTAATGATAAAATCCTATATTTAATTAACTATTACCACATATAATTAAAATATTATTTATTAGTTAAAACACTTAAATGAAAATATTGATTACTAATAAAATTATATTTGTTTATTTATTTATGTGTTAATAAATAAAATAGGCTACTAATATTTATTATTTAACCAACATATGTGTAAACAACAGTAATGATGATTTACCAATAACAGTATTGAGAAAACATCAAACAAAGCAAATATTGGAAAAAGTTAAATGAAGCACAAACGTACCTACTAATATCCCTACTTCATCGGGTAGCAATCATGAAATAGTCTATAGTATTGAACAAAATTCAGACATTTCTTCTCTGTATACATTTCTAGCAGCACTTATATGTTCTGTGAGTAATAATCTTAAAAATGTATTTATATGTAGCAACTAAAATGAAATAAATACATTTATCTATTTTAAAACTACAAATCATTTTTAAAATTTGTTTAGCTGCACTGAACACATTACTGAATATGAATGATCAAAATGTAAACGATTATCAGTCTGCAAAAATTTGTATTAAACTTGTGTTGCAATGAATTTTTAATAATTAGCTAGCTTCTAGATGTTCGTAGACAGGTTTTCAAAATAACTTCAGACTTGAACATATTTTGTTTATAAACATCAGGATAGGTATTCTAAATAGCTGTTAATAATTTGTGGTGAATTTTTGTTCATTTATTTTATAGACTTATCCAGAGAAAAATTTAACTCATTTAACTCCAGAGATGTCTTGAAGCTGATAAGAAAGTAGCTATTAGCCTTAATTGTACTGTTCTATTAAGTCCTTCTTCAAATAAAACTACAAACTGTTAGTATTTTGGTGTGTTGCAAGATCAGAGTTTTACAAATATGTATCCCATCAACTGCTAAAACTACTTCAACTACAATGTATCCCAGACAATGTGAATAACCCATATAAATTAACAACAAGCTTAATTACCTATCTATTTCAACCTATTAGTGAGGATATCAAGTATAAAAATATAACACTTAAGGATAAATTGCAAAAATTGATTTGTGACTATCATATTTTACATAACTGTGTAAATAAACTTTTGGAAATTCTTAGATCCGAGGGCCTTGATTTGCCAAAAGATGTAAGAACTTAGAGTTTCAAACTCCAAAAAAATCATTTAATAACTAATTTTCATCCAAATACATATATTCATATTGGTATCCAGTTTATGATTATACCTATTTTAGTTGCTTATGTTGAACAATTCAAAAATACTAGAAATATAATAATGTTTGTTCTGGGACAACTTGATATTTTCATTTAAAAAAACTAATTTCTGATATCTATATATAAAAGAGTTTTTTGCATTTTTTTTTTCTTTTTACTAAGACAAAGAAAAAACAATTTTCCAAAATTTTGGATGTACCTATAGAGACCCAAGCCATCGCTCGCTCGGACTATTTTAATCACAAAATACCCCTCGATTTGTTGTGTAAGTTTTTTCTACCAAAAATCTTGATTCAATGTATCATGTGTGGCTTATTTTCTGAATGGTAATTTTATAAATTTTGTACACGGGATTAAAAAAATCATTGTAAAACCAATACCTTCTTTGCTACTCTAAAAATCTAAAAAATTAATTTAGTTATATGTATATACATCTTAATTGACCAATTAATATGTATTAACAGAAAATCAAGGAAATAATTATTATAAAATGGAATGATCTGAAAAAAAATCCATGTTTTTAGTTATAAAATTATATATTTCAAGTAAAATTTGTATACAACATGATATTTTTTATATAATAAGAAACTCAAATATATTATGATAAAATATATACAAAATAATATTTACATAGGTAATTTAAATGAATTATGATAAATGTTATAAAGGAAATTTTATAAACTTTTGTTTACATAGAAAATAAACATATTTTATAATATATAAGATTTAAATATATCTTAAACTGACAAAATTTAAATCGTTTCCTTTCACAGTATTATCCTGTGTAACCCATGGTTTCCACCTTGCTCTAGAAAATTACTAATCGCCAATGATATGAAAGTATTCTTATAAAAATATGAATAATACATCTTTATTACAAGATGATTTAAATTCTTTAGCCAAATGGGGTGCTATTCGTGCAAATTAATTTTGTAATCTTGGTGTCATTCGAATTAAATCTATTATTTAATTAACACATCCAACATATTAATAATAAATTAATAAAAATAATAATAATAATGAGATTCCTACTGATAAATTAAAATAACGATTTGTTTTCACTTTGTAATAAAGGATATAATGTCAATGTATCATGATTTTTACCAATCTTTAGTTACAGCTTAACTAATTTTATTATTTTTTATGGTGTTTTTTTAATTGTTAATTGAATAAAAGTAAAAACTATTACCTACTTAAGGTATTTTATTTGAATTATTTAATTCACAAAGTAATTTTGTTTTTATTTTAATACTTGATATTATAATATATTTTTAGATTAAATATGTTTTGAAATTAAATTTGATGGTTTTTTTAAATTTAGGAGGAAGATATTTTTTCTTGATAAAAATAACTTATTAAACAATATTATAATTAGTTTGAATTTATAATTAGTTAAAAACTCAATTTGAGAATTTATTAAACACTTTGAGTATGAACACAATGATGAGCCAGTTATTGAACCAAAACAGTAATTCAAAATACATTTTTATTTCTTTACACCTGATGTAGCTAAAAATACTATAAATGGCAGATTTGAACAGCTAAAAGAACATAATACAAATTGTTGGTTTCTTTGTAATATGAAAAAAATTAAAAAATTGTATACATGAAGAACTATTAAAACATTGCAAAGACTTACATATTCTTGCTGGTGGAGATTAAACAAATATCAATGGGATTTAAATAGCCCATGAATTATAGTCAGTTTCAGCTATGGTTGATAATAACTTAATAACTTATGAACTTTTAACATTTGTAGTAAATGCAGTTGACTTTACACCAAACCTATCCATTGCCCCGAGGAAAAGAGTTAGTCCACGATTTTGCAAAGTTAAAAGCAAGAAAACATTTATTGTTGTATGAATTATATATTAATTTTAATTATGAACTATCATTTATTTTTATAAATGTACAAAACAAACTGTTGAGAAAAAAACAATTATTTTGGTAATGTTATTTTTATTTGACCGAATAACTTGAATTTAAAAAAGTTATTAGTTTTAAGTTTAAGTATAACAAGCAAGTGGAATAATTTAAATAAATAAATTGATCTTTTGTATTTTTTATTCTAATTAAATTAAGATATTGTCTTTAATTCAACCTAATTATAATTAATTTAATTTCCCTAGGTTTATTTTTTTAATTTCACAAGATAACATTTCACCATTTGATAAAATATAATCCAGTTTTTAATTCATTTTATTAATTTTGTACAAATAATTATATACTAATTATATGGCAACAATTTATTGTAAGGAGTGGTATTTTTTTTAATTAAACAGGGCAACAAAGCTGTGATACTATTCAGTATAGTAGGATATAATATAATATTCACAAAACCGATCTTTTAAATATTTAAGTATTTCTACAAAATTATATTTTGCTACTTTTACCAAAACATTGCATGCCAATTTTCTAAAATTCACCATAAAAAGATTATTTTAGTTCACTGCTTTGCAGTTTCTACATGTACTCCTAAATATGGTTTTAATTAAATTACTTATATTCACATTACATTGACATAGAATATAGTGCATAGGTACCATATACGAATGTTGTATGTGTTATTAATGTAATCATTATATTTTTCAGATGTAACTCCAATTTAGTGTAGACAATCATTAATTAGACAAGAAATAGATGTTATTAATAGTTTTGTGTTTAATAGTAAGGTAAGAATTAAACAAGATCATATGTAATTAAGTTAACATAAAGCAAAGTGTTTAATATTTGGTATTTGCAATAACACTTTTTTTAAAAAATTTAGTTAAAATTAGTTATAATTAAACACTTAGCAATGAAGATGCAGAACCACATTAAGTGTTATATATAATAAAATGTAATAGAAAATTTAATTACCTATTAAGTAATTCATAGGAAGAGAAAATGTCACCAATGTGATGCTTGTAATAATTAATTTTAAATTATCCAGTTCATAGTGGAGAAAAGCTTCTATGTTGTTAATAAGTTTTCACTTATTTTAAACAGTAGGCTAAATATTATTTTTTTTTTAAATGTGTTGTATAACTATTTTTGATACCTAAATTGTATTTGAAATAAACAAAAAAAAAATAAATAATAAAAACAAGTATATTTTAAATGTAATATATGTAATATACACTTTATTATGGATTAAATACTGTAAAATCTATGAAAATTTTTTTATAAAAGTAATATACTTAATGATGTTAATATTATAATATATAATTAAAATTGATTTTTTTTTTTGTTTACAAATAAGTTATTTTGGAACTGCAGCAAATAAACTAATCTTAACTTAAAATGTGTATAATTAATTGGAATTTGATCTTTAATAAAATATAAATGCAGAAAAACCAATCTATGTAACTAATTAAGTGATTATGTTGAATTGTACTTTAAAAATGAAAATACATAGTAAACTGAAGTTCTCCGCGAATTTATATTTCATCATCTGAAAAATAAATTAAATTAAACCTCCAAAGAAATTGTTACATTTTTAAAGATGTATTTACTAACCATGATACATCCATCTTGTATGTTTTGGATTTTGGCTGCAAGATTTTACATACAAATCATTATCTAGGGGTCTTTCCTGTAAAGTTTAATAATAATTCATTACTTATTCATAAAAGAAACTATAATGGATCACAAAAATATGTAGAAATATAAACTTATTTACTTTTTAAATAGAAACCATTGTTAAAATAGATTGTTGTATCTAGTTGGTTTATTTGCTTGTTTATATTATAACAAACTTAAAAAACTTCACATGTCATGTCTAAAGTCGGGACCACACCTGACAGGGTTGTTATATTTAAGACATTTTGTTTTAATTAGACGTCTTAATATGTTTTAATTATTTGTTTGATATTATAACAAAATTTCCATTTCTCCTATGTTTTTATTTTGGTTTTTCAAATTTGTTGAGAAAATTCCTATCAAAAAATGACCTCTCCAAAGTACCACCTCAGTCAGATTTCCTTACAGAAAAAGTGCTATCATTTTGGAGCAAAATTGATGGCAGAAAAGTTGTACACAGAAAAAAAAAAGGCCTTAATACTTTTTTAATAATACCTAAATTTCGATCATGTTCAGTTTTTCTTACATTTTATCCTGATTTATCCCAGATATTATGAAAACAGCTTGGAAAATCAAAAAATGACCTCTTAAAAGTACCATCTGTACAACATTCCCTTTCAAAAATAATGCTATATGTATATATCTAAGCAAAATATCTGGTACAATTTTTTTACACGTGATAAAAAAAATAAAAATATCTTAGTAAAACCAATACATTCTTCACTACACTCAGGCACTAAAAATTAGTAAAATGTTTAATTTATAAATATATTTTAAACAATAAAAACACTTTTTTATTTAGTATTACAACTTAGTTTCCATTTTTTATGAGATGATAAAAAAATACAAATTATTTATGTTAATACAAGAAATTAATATAACAAATGAACTCTATATAATATACTTCTATATTACTAACTTCTTAGATTGAAAACAAAATACCTATACAGATTTGATTGATAAAACTATAATTATAATAAGTACATAATTATAATTCATAGTTATATTTTATTGGAAAATATTAGGTATGGAATTTTAATTTGTAAACTTAATAAATACATTTTGTTTAAAGTTATATTTCTTAGGGGGGTAAATGAAATTCCAAGGGGGAATTGACTTACTATTGGCTAATACTAAAACTTCTAAACTCTTAATCTAGTATGTTTAAAGTAATACTGTTACATCAATTATTTAATTAGAAATTAAGACCATTTTTTTTTTAATATATTTAAAACATAATATAAAACATATATTATTATATCCAAAATGTGTACCTATTCTATTTTTTCATTCTATTTGTAACTATTTAATAATATAACTATAATATTTAATAACACTGCTATCATATTTTTATTTTGGTTAACTTTATAGGTTATGCATTCAAACTCTGCTAAAAAATAAAAATAGGTAATAATGGGTAATATAGATAAAAAATATATTAAATGTCAAGCCCTGCGATCATTACTACCATTGAGTTCATGGTTATACTAGAGTTAATCTATATAAGGCTCTAGACATGCATATGAAAGTAATTAATAATGAGTAAGTGAATCTTTTATTAATTATTTACTGTTTATTGTTGCATCAAAATCTACATAGGTCCAATAATTGGGGAACTGATGTAAACTTCATTAGATTGCTGGTCTAAACCAGAAGGATACTTTATACACAGAATATATTTTTATGAAATCACCTTTTTTTTGCAGCTACTTAGCATGGATATGATTGATACACAAACAGATTGAACTGATAAAGCAGGAGACCAGTCTTCACTAAGAATAGATAAACAAATATGACCATTACTGTAAACATGTGGATGAACTGGAATGTTTTGACCCACAAATATGACCTAAGTAAAAATAAGATAAACATTTTTTAATATAATATCAAAATAACATAATTTAAATTTTGTAATAATAAATGCTTACTTCAGGAGACTCAAAGGGATAGCTAGGACCAAATTTAAATTGTAATTGGAAATGTTCCTTATCATATATAGTACCTTCAGCACCTTGCATATTTATGGTCCAACTATAAAGTATTATTACATATTATAAATGTTATATTAAACATGGGTACATGTTATATTAAACAATTTTTTACCAAAAGTCCATACATTAATAACGGAAAATAATTTTTCCTTAAGCTAAATTTTGAATTTATATCATTTTAATACACACATTTAATAACACACAAAACAATAGTTTAAATTATACATTTATACTTCTATACTAATATCATAATTATATTATAGGATTTGTTTGCATGTTTTTAATAGATAAGCTCAAAAACTAGTTAACCAATTTTAATTATTTTTTCACTTATACAAGCTACAAATTAGAGATCCAGATGCTTGCAATAATTATGTTTTTAGGTATTTTTGGTACAAAATATATCTAATTGTTTATAAATTTATTTTATTTAACATGTCTCATGGGTTACCTTGGAGATATGGATTATCATTATTATTACTAGTATTTACACTATTATCTACTAGATAACAATAGCAAAATCATTGCCAGGTCAGCTAGTATATAAAGCTTGTACGTTTGAAAGTGATAATCACAGAACTACTTATCTATTTTAAACAATTATTAATGCAATAGTTAGCTTGTTCGTTGAGAGTTGTAATTAATAATAATAATAACAATAATTATTATTATCACCGAATTAACGCCGGGTTTGAATATTATAACGGCAGTTTTTCTTCTTTTTCTTCCTCCACGGCCGCGGCCGTTAGCGCTTTTATATTTAGAAATAAATTAAAACAACACGATAGTTGCTCTCCCGCCCCCACCACTGTCTTCCATTCTACCGTCCCCCTGCTCGGCATTGTTTTTCAGGCTTGATTCAACGGATGGACATTTTTATTATTGTAATTTTAATTAATATTAAATGTATTTATGTCAACAAACTTAAACTTTTCTACTAACATCGATATGTTTTTTTCAACTTCAT